AGTCTTTCCTTGCTGCCGGAGTCATTTCTGGCAGTGTTGACGCTGCGGCCCTGCTTGGGCAAGCAGAGCGATGAAGTGTATGTATTCACATACATACCTACACCCTTCAGGCATATCAGGCATATCATATCGCCTGAGCGTGCCTCACTGGCTACCCTGCCATTTATGCCCCTGTTGGGGGGCTACGCATGTGTGTACAGTCCATGCCATCAAAAGGCATGCAGTGTAGATGTAATTCAAGTATGTTGACCTGATAAAGGCTGGCACAGAGTCTCCCCTTATGGCGAAAAGTACATGCAGAAGCCTCTACCTCATCCCTTCGTGGTTGGTCTCCTTGTGGCCCTTTTCATGAAGCCACACTGCAGCATTAAAGTGGTGTAGAGAGGAGTGTGTGTAGAATTTTTAATAAGGAGCCTGCTATTGCCTTACACTGATGTTATCTGGGGGGATTCCCCATGTTTTAGTAGGCAAATAGCTCCTTTTATCACACTGAAGAAGTAAATTTCCCATTTTAAAATATAATTGCAGAAGTTAGTCTTTGCAAGTCTTAATTTTTTTTAAATGAGATTTCTTTTTTTATGCTGAGGGTTATTGCACTGAATCATTTTGGACTTGATTCATAAAAATGCTGCAAAGGAAAGGCTTTTGTACTCTATTAACTCTGTTCCCCTTCTACTTTTTTTTTTTTTTTACCTTGTATAAAAGCTAAAGGAGCATTCTCCAAACAAACAAAGGGACTTGGATGGGGGAGAAGGAAGGGGGCCACCATTTTCTTATATCTTGGTCACACCTGGAACCTGAACCTGGCCCTGAAGCTTGCTTGCCATCCATTCGAGATTTACAAGCTAAAGGGAACGGTTATGTAATAGGTAAAACCAGGCAGACAGTGGCCACAAGAAGGAAGTGATTTAGTACAGTGCCAGTGACTGTGCACTATTTATAACACTTCTTGTATATTTCTCCAAACATTTATACAACAATATGTCATGCCTGGATAGGGTAATACAATTTAATACTAAATTTGGTTCCAAAATATGGTAGCCTAGGCAGTTGCAGACTACTTTTCTTTGCTCAGTTGCATGACACAAATTCCTGTTTACCTGCCAGCAGTGTACTGGTTCATCTGTCAGGCATGTATTTGATTTTTAAAGGACAAAGGGTGTGTGTGTGTTTATTCATTTTAACAAAGCTTGCTGGAAAATTTCACTCAACATAAAATGGTGACAAAAATGTGTAAAGGTGGTCGGGGGGAGATTAAAAATTGAATTTTTTGTCCTGTTTTGCTACCTGCTCTAGTTTTTAAGCCAAAACCAGCCATTTGAAAGTGAAGAATGTAGATTTTCATCAGAAGGCTTGTGTGAATGAAGCAGCCGTTAGTATAACAATTAAAAAAACCCAACTGTCCAGTAATTATTTAGTATCCATCCTGAACAATGAAAAGCTTTGTTAAGTATTTTAGTAGATGATAGGTTGTTAGTACCTGGAAGGAGTGATATTTTGAAAGAAAATAAACACCTTTGTCATCTGTTCAACAAGATGGTAGGATTGTTTGTTTGTAGGGCTGTCAAGCAATTAATCACGCTGTTAAACAATAATAGGATACCATTTATTTAAATATTTTTGGATGTTTTCTACATTTTCAAATGTATTGGTTTCAGTTTCAACACAGAACTCAAATTATACAGTGCTCACTTTATATTTATTTTTATTACAAATATTTGCACTGTAAAAAAACAGAAAAGAAATAGTATTTTTCAGTTCACCTAATACAAATACTATAGTGCAATCTCTTTGTCATGAAAGTTGAACTTACAAATGTAGAATTATGTACAAAAAACCTGCATTCAAAAATAAAACAATGTAAAACTTTAGAGCCTACCAGTCCACTTAGACCTACTTCTTGTTCAGCCAATCACTCAGATGAACAAATTTGTTTACATTTGCAGGAGATAATGCTGCCCGCTTCTTGTTTAAAATGTCACCTGAAAGTGAGAACTGGCATTTGCATGGCACTTTTGTAGCTGGCATTGCAAGGTATTGATGTGCCAGATATGCTAAACATTTGTATGCCCCTTCATGCTTCGGCCGCCAATCCAGAGGACGTGCTTCCATGCTGATTACACTCGTTAAAAAATAATGTGTTAATTAAACTTGTGACTGAACTCCTTGGGGGAGAATTGTATATCTTCTGCTCTGTTTTAGAATCATAGAATGTTAGGGTTGGAAGGGACCTCAGGAGATCATCTAGTCCAACCCCCAGCTCAAAGCAGGACCAGTCCCCAGCATTACCTGCATTCTGCCATATATTTCATATTATAGTAATCTTGTATGATGACTCAGCACACAGTCTGAACTGTTGAACTCTTGGTGACTATTGAAAGCAATCCAGGAGATTTTAATAGGATATTTTAAGAAAATGACATTGTTATGTTGGAAAAAAGTTTCCCAGAATAGCTTCAATCAGAGTTGGCAACCCTACATGTAAATATATCATGATGCTGGCTACAACAATGCTATGTGGATGCCTGTTCTCACTTTCAGGTGACATTGTAAACAAGAAGTGGGCAGCATTATCTTCTGCAAATGTAAACAAACTTGTTTGTCTGAGCGACTGGCTGAACAAGAAGGAAGACTGAGTGGACTTGTAGGGTCTAAAGTTTTACATTGTTTTGTTTTTGAGTGCAGTTATGTAACCAACAAAATCTATATTTATAAGTTGCACTTTCATAATAAAGATTGCACTACAGTACTTGTCTGAGGTGAGTTGCAAAATACAATTTCTTTTATCATTTTTATAGTGCAAATATTTGTAATAAAAATAATTATATAAAGTGAGCACCATACATTTTGTATTCTGTATTGTAATTGAAATCAATATGGTTGAAAATGTAGAAAAACATCAAAAAATTTCATTTTTAATAAATTTCAATGGGTATTCTATTATTTAATAGTGCGATTAAAACTGTGATTAATCACAATTAGTTTTTTAATCACGATTAATTTTTTTGAGTCAATTTGTTTAAATGTCTTTTCCGTAGGCCAATTGGATAGTGTGTGCATGTGCGTATGCATGTGTCTGTGTGTGTGTGTATGTGTCATGTGTAGATAATTTGTAAAAACCTCTCTTTCAGAGTCAAACAAGAGGATACAAAATGCAGTTTTCAACTTATATTGAAAAGCATTGTTGCAATGGGCAGGGTTCCAGGATTGGTGTTTGGTTGTTTTCTCAGAGTTAGATGGTTGCCATCTGGCATTGATAGTGAGATGGCGTTGTCATCAGTTTCTAGAGGCAGGAAAGGAATGAATCCTCATCTGTTTCCTGTGGATAAGCAGGAGGCTGATAATCTAGTAAAATCTTGTTACCTTAAAGAAAGCAGGCTTGGAATTTGTTTACATGATAAAAGCCAACTCTAACTTTTCATGTTAATATGATAAGTTTCTTTGTTAGAGGGTTGTAGATGTTAAGAAACTTAGCATTTGTTGAAAAATATCTTAAGAAAAATACCTTCCCCATGGCTTTATTCAGTCATTTTCTATAGTATTATCTTAATCAACTTTGTTTTTAAAAGGAAATAAGACAACGATGTTGCCCCTGGAAGGGAATAAAGAATAATTTGCTTTAGATGGAGCTGTTGGGCATTTTTTGTATTTTTTTTTTAAAGTTTTTATACTAAGAGAAATGCAGTCATTAAACCACAGTACACCGGACCCTCGCTAGAACGCAGGATTTGGGATCCATGTGTGGTACTGCGGGGACCGCGTTATAGCAGGGACCACATTAAAATGAATTGCAATTAAAGTAATTAAATTTGGGATCCATGGCCGCGACCGCGTTATATGCGAATTCGTGCTATATAGGTGGTGCACGTTCTAGTGAGGGTCCGGTGTATTTGTTTGTTTAAAAGGAAGGCTGCAAAAATCCCAGATGGTACCTGTTAAGCACTTAGTTAAAACTCACCTGGTCCAGAAGTGAAGTAATATCATGGACAACTAGTTTAGTTTAATAGCTGGCTTGTGTTTTGTTTGTCGTTTCTTTGTTATTCATAAATCTTTCAGTTTTTACTATAATCATGTATCATTTTTTCCTGTTTCCAGTTTTTCACAAGTTGCTTTGTCTATGATCACCTAAAAGTACAGGTTCTATTTAACTAAGGAAGTTCAGCTGGCTGAGACTTTTGCAAAAAGGAAGAAATGGTGGGCAACCTCTTGAACTTTAGAAACAAAATACACTGTTGGGAACTGGCTCTTGTGAAACTTTCTCATTTTCCTTGATCCCAGCTGACTTAGTACAATAATATTTGTTAGTTTGTTTTGAACATTTAATAATCCATTTTCTGGCTTGAGGTTACCAAATGGTAGTTATTGAAGAGATTCTGGCAGCATTATTTTTAGAGAAGACATCACTTTTATTATGGTTTTTGTCCATTTCCTTCCTTGTAATTTTTTAATATTATTTTGTTGAGGGCACCAAAGTCTATATCAATAATAACCCCGAAAAGATTTCTGTTTTCAGAACCAACTTTAAGGGGGAAAAAATAGAGGAAAAGAACAGGGAATTTTTATTAAATACTAGGCATGTGGGTTGACTGCATTAATTGTAAATCATTTCTGTAATATTTCCTTCTTTCACTGACTCTTCAGATGATCACATAATATGCAAATCATTTTACAATGGATACAAAAGAAACATTAAATATATTAAAATCTGCATTTTAATAAAGTTGTCAATGTATAATATATATCCTGCAACTGAGAGAGGATGATAAAAAAGCAATAAAAGGATAATATAGGCACAGAACTATTTAATAACTTTTCATATTTTACAGTTTGATAAAAATAAATGTGGGATTAAAAAAAAAGCTGTTGGAGGTGAAAAGTATCCCATTTCAAGTTTAGTACATTGCGTATTTGTTCCAGCTATTTGCATGTTTATACACATTTAGTGTATCCTTTGAACTCCAGGGGAATAAGCGTATGTGCACTTTTTTTCCTCATTCCAGATGGAGTGGATATTGAGGATGACCCCACTTGCTCATGGCCAGCTTCATCACCTTCCAGCAAAGACCAGACTTCACCAAGCCATGGAGAAGGTTGTGATTTTGGTGAGGAAGAGGGTGGCCCAGGATTGCCTTATCCGTGCCAGTTCTGTGACAAGTCATTCAGTCGGCTCAGCTACTTAAAACATCATGAGCAGAGTCACAGCGACAAGCTCCCTTTCAAATGCACATATTGCAGTCGCCTCTTCAAACACAAGCGGAGCAGAGATCGCCATATAAAGCTTCACACGGGAGACAAGAAGTATCACTGCAGTGAATGTGATGCGGCATTTTCAAGGAGTGATCACCTTAAAATTCACTTAAAGACTCATACATCCAACAAGCCATATAAATGTGCCATTTGTAGACGTGGATTCCTTTCATCTAGTTCACTGCATGGTCACATGCAGGTTCATGAAAGAAACAAGGATGGTTCTCAGTCTGCCTCCAGGATGGAGGAGTGGAAAATGAAAGACACTCAGAAATGCAGTCAGTGTGAAGAAGGCTTTGATTTCCCTGAAGATCTTCAGAAACACATAGCAGAATGCCACCCCGAGTGTTCCCCTAATGAAGACAGGGCTGCTCTTCAATGTGTTTATTGCCATGAACTCTTTGTAGAGGAAAGTTCTCTTGTAAATCACATGGAGCAAGCTCATAATGGTGAAAAGAAGAATTCATGCAGCATTTGCTCAGAGAACTTCCATACCGTGGAAGAACTGTACAGCCACATGGATAGTCACCAGCAGCCCGAATCATGCAATCATAGCAACAGCCCTTCTTTGGTAACTGTTGGCTATACCTCAGTATCTAGCACCACTCCAGATTCAAACCTCTCGGTGGATAGTTCAACAATGGTAGAAACGGCTCCCCCAATAACAAAGGGTCGTGGAAGAAAGCGGGCAGCCCAACAAGTACCAGATATCACTGGTCCTTCGAATAAGCAAGCAAAAGTTACCTATAGCTGCATTTATTGCAACAAACAGTTATTTTCAAGCCTTGCAGTTCTGCAGATACACCTGAAAACTATGCATTTAGATAAACCTGAACAAGCGCATATCTGTCAGTATTGTTTGGAGGTGTTACCTTCACTTTATAATCTGAATGAACATCTTAAGCAAGTTCATGAAGCTCCAGACCCAGCACTGATTGTTTCTACCATGCCTGCCATGGTCTACCAGTGCAACTTCTGCTCTGAAGTATTTAATGACCTCAACACTCTTCAGGAACATATCCGATGTTCTCATGGGTTTGCAAACCCTGCTGCTAAAGACAGTAATGCATTCTTTTGTCCCCATTGCTACATGGGATTTCTTACTGATTCTTCTTTGGAAGAGCATATTAGACAAGTCCATTGTGATCTTAGCAGTTCCCGTTTTGGTTCCCCTGTACTTGGAACCCCAAAAGATCCAGTAGTAGAAGTATATTCCTGTTCCTACTGTACTAATTCTCCAATATTTAACAGTGTCCTTAAATTGAACAAGCATATCAAGGAGAACCATAAGAACATTCCTTTGGCATTGAATTACATCCACAATGGAAAGAAATCTAGAGCCTTGAGCCCCTTATCTCCTGTAACTATTGAGCAAACTTCCTTAAAGATGATGCAAGCTGTAGGTGGTGCTCCTCCACGTCCTGCAGGTGAATATGTCTGTAATCAATGTGGTGCTAAGTATACGTCTCTGGATGGTTTTCAGACTCATTTAAAAACCCACCTTGACACTGTCCTGCCAAAACTGACCTGCCCTCAGTGCAACAAGGAGTTTCCAAACCAAGAGTCGCTGCTGAAGCATGTTACAATTCATTTCATGATAACTTCTACATACTATATCTGTGAAAGCTGTGACAAGCAGTTTACTTCAGTGGATGACTTGCAAAAACACCTGCTTGACATGCATACGTTTGTATTCTTCCGCTGCACCTTGTGTCAAGAGGTTTTTGACTCCAAAGTCTCCATTCAACTACACCTGGCTGTGAAGCACAGCAATGAAAAGAAGGTATACAGGTGCACATCTTGTAACTGGGACTTCCGTAATGAAACTGACCTACAGCTTCATGTTAAACACAATCACCTGGAGAATCAAGGGAAAGTGCACAAGTGCATTTTCTGTGGCGAGTCGTTCGGTACAGAGGTGGAGCTTCAGTGCCACATTACTACACATAGCAAAAAATACAACTGCAAATTCTGCAGCAAAGCTTTTCATGCTATTATATTGCTAGAGAAACACTTGAGGGAAAAACACTGTGTTTTTGAAACTAAAACTCCAAACTGTGGAACAAATGGAGCATCGGAGCAAGTTCAGAAAGAAGAAGTGGAGCTCCAGACCTTGTTGACAAATAGCCAGGAGTCACATAATAGCCATGATGGCAGTGAAGAAGACGTTGATACATCAGAGCCCATGTACGGTTGTGACATTTGTGGAGCAGCATACACAATGGAAACTCTCCTGCAGAATCATCAGCTTCGAGACCACAACATCCGACCTGGAGAAAGTGCTATAGTTAAGAAGAAGGCAGAGCTGATTAAAGGGAATTACAAGTGTAATGTGTGTTCTCGAACATTCTTCTCTGAAAATGGGCTCCGTGAACATATGCAGACACACTTGGGACCAGTGAAACATTATATGTGCCCAATATGTGGTGAGCGGTTTCCATCTCTTCTGACTCTTACTGAACATAAAGTCACACATAGTAAGAGCCTGGACACTGGAAACTGCAGAATTTGCAAAATGCCTCTACAGAGTGAGGAGGATTTTTTAGAGCATTGCCAAATGCACCCTGATTTGAGAAATTCCTTAACAGGATTCCGCTGTGTGGTATGCATGCAAACAGTGACTTCTACCTTGGAACTGAAAATCCATGGGACATTTCACATGCAAAAAACAGGAAATGGCTCTGCAGTGCAGTCCACAGGGCGTGCACAGCACCTTCAGAAACTGTACAAATGTGCTTCTTGCCTGAAGGAATTCCGCTCAAAACAGGATTTAGTGAAACTTGACATCAATGGTCTGCCATATGGTCTGTGCGCTGTTTGTGTTAATCTCAGTAAAAGTGGTAGTCCAAGTGTCAACATCCCTTCAAGCAGTAACAGACAAGGCTTGAGTCAAAATGAGAACTTGAGTTCCATTGAGAACAAAAGCAAGGCAGGGGGACTGAAGACTCGCTGTTCTAGTTGCAATGTTAAATTTGAATCAGAAAGTGAACTACAGAATCATATCCAGTCAATCCACAGAGAGCTTGTTCCAGACAGCAACAGTACACAGCTGAAAACACCACAAGTATCTCCAATGCCCAGAATCAGCCCTTCTCAATCTGATGAGGTAAAACTTTTTCTTTTGCTGTTGCTGCTTTTCACCTTTTTGATAAAACTTCCCCATTTTACACTGCCGTTTTCTCAGGCCTTATTGTTATTTGCCAGAAACTGCTTAGATTGAACCATGGAATAGTTCCTCCCATAGCCGTTAGCTAGCAATTACTTGCTTTTTGATATGCCTTGTGTTTTGGCTTGATTGGTGTAGAATAGGACTAATTCCAGTCTCCCTAGGATATTGTCTTCTGTATTACTGAGAGACCAGTCTTCATGCCAGCACAACTGAGATCTGGAATCTTAACTTAGCTTCATTGCAAGTCGGAATCCCTTGCTATATGGCTTGCGCTTATGGCATAGAGTATTAATGACACAGAATTAAAATACATAGAGCCAATATGCTGGCAAAAAGGATGAACGTTCAAAAAATATTTGTGAACAACAAATTGGGGAGTTATTTTTGTAAATTATGTTTCAGACATTAATTTTCCCTGTCTTTACCGTACTTTGATTAAAATGAAACTCAGCAATTTGTCACCTACCTAGGGTAAATGGTGAAATGGGCTTTCTATGGCAATTCCATTTTTAATTTTCTTTTTATTAACAATATTTTAGGTAGCACAAGGTCACCAACGCACCAAGTACCTGAGGATTTAAACTTCATCTATGCAGAACAACTTTAAAAGTAAAATTACACATAAATAGTAGTCCCAAATTTTTGAAAGATTTCTTCTGCTCTCACTTGTTTACATTAGCTTAAGAGATAATGTGGGGGTGGTATTAAGGGTGGAGGGAAATGTCACAACTGATCCATGTGGGAGGTGAAGGGAGAGTCTTTTTTGCCTTAATACGTTCAATGAATAAAATGAGTTAATTAGCATTTTGGGGATGAGTTCTTGCATATAGGACTCTCAACAACTTAAGAAACCTATAGCTCAATACACACACAGAGACACACACACACACAGACTCGCTCTCTCTCTCTTCCAAAAGTAGCTTGTACCCAAAGTCTTGCTAAACTTTGCTATGGGATGCACATTGATGTAGCATGGGTGGGGAGAATGGGCCCAAACAATTGTTTTCCCACCACACCATATTTGTGATGCCATCTGCAAGGATAAACACATACCTTAGAATAGCACATGATAGGCTGACTTGCCTTATTTCTTTGAAAAGTCGTCTTAGTTCCATTTCACTCTTCTCCGATATTACTTGCAATTTCTTGAGGCTTACAAAGGTCCCTAGCTCCTCAGGCACATTGAAAACCTATCCTGGTTTCCCCAAGCACACTCAAAACCATGTACATTAAGACATATTCCCAGGTTGTTGGCCATTTCCTTGGCACCCTCAAAAGCTATTATACTTTTTAACGAATTGGTTCAACATCTACATTTTTATTGCGCTTCATGAGCTTGGAGGATGTCATAATCAGAGTTCCTGTAACCTGATTGGCCTCTCTGCTTTCCATTGATAAAACCAACCACTTTAAAATCACATAGTCAAAAATCCAAATAGTTTCAAAGAATTTCCACTCTCAGTAGATTTACTGCCTTTGGATTTTCATATGAAATGTTTTTTTCAGACTGATAATTCTTAAATAACAGATCTTTAGGTCATTTTTCAGCCCTTTCATTCATATGTCCTAAAGTTGCCAATCAGCTCCCCATCCACTGTTTGTAAACTGTGTTTTCAGTTATTGCAGTTTTAGCCTCTAGATAAGTGACCTTTGGGCCCTCAAATCCTTTGCTCATGGCAGACACGATAACTTTGAGAAGGTTATTAAGCCCCTCATAGAGTGTCAATACTTTTAGAGCTCGTCCACAAGGTTCACAAAGCCACAGGCTGAAAAGAAGCATGTTTTGTTTTTTAAAAATTTCAAATTTAAACTCTTGTCAATCTGCAGCCAGACCCAGACTGTAGCAGTGAAAGTGATCATAAATAACAACAAAACTCACTTCGTAGATTTTTTATGTTCAGACAGAGAGAAATTCAAAGTCTAAAAAATGAGTGAAAAGTAAACTGGATTTCTAAAACTGTTAGTAACTGAAAGTGTTGTTGTTATAATAAATAAGGACATTTGTTGTTTTGAATATGATTTGTAAGATGACAACATCCCATGGAAAATGTATCTACTTAACATTGCCAGTAGCTAATTTTTGAAAAAATTGTGACTAAAAATTTCCATAGGGATAAATAGAGCAGAGATTCCATTTGGTTTATTGCGTGTTACGTGGTTTGAAATGTTGAACTGGATGTTAGGAGCTTTCTAACTTTTGAAGCGAGAGAAATATAAAGAGTTGTGGTCCCACGGATAGTTCTGCAAACCCTTCATTATTCAAGTAATGGACATACGTGCTAAGGAAACTAAAACAGTGTTTTTCAATGGAGAAGTGGAAGGTGAGACTAAAACTTATATCTCCTTAGATGATTGTTTCTACATTTGAACTAAAAAGATGCAACTGCTCAGCTTCTTTTTCTTCTTTGTTCATCCTGTATAGAGAACAAACCTAGATAGTTCACTAATACCCTTTTTCATTATGTGCATATAATTTCAGATCTTTTAGTTAGTAAAAGTTACTGTAACTGTTGATAAATGTCTAAAAGTGGAGAGGCCCTAGTATTGTTTCTGTACTTAATGAGCTATAGGGGTTTCAGAAGTTCCTGAATTACTGCTAATGCATAGTGCATTAGCTCATTAAGATAACAGATAGAATGCTAATCTGGGTGAATTAGTGTTTAGACGTTGAGAAAGAGGTGTGCTCTGAGTAGTGGACTGGGGACAGAACTCAGTCCTAGTTCTGACTTTGATTTCTTTGTTGACTTGGGCAAATCACTTTAACCTCTCTGTATCAATTTCCTCATCAGTAAAACAGGGCTAAAACATATTTATCTCAAAAGGGTGTTGGGAAGCTTAATTAGTATAAATGTTTGAAAGTACTTGGAAGATGAAAAGCATGTATAAGTGCTAGGTATTATTGCTTCTGTTGCCCCTCCTTAAAATGTTGTCATACTTAAGTTAATGAAGCACATAATGGGAGAACTCCTAATTCAGCAGAAAGCTTTGTAGCTTTGCCTTTACCTGTTGAGACTTAAGCCATGTCTGTAACAGATTTTGGTCAATGCAAGTTATGTCGGCATATAGCTCCTGAAATTTGTACATTGCTCAAGCATGTGCATACTTGGCTGCTTGTGCCGGTGGTGCACATACCCACCAGGAGTGTTTGTGTTGATGCAGATTACAGTGCACCACAGTTAGGTATCATAACGTGCCAGGTGCTGCCGTCAGATGCCATGCCTTTTGGGGGATTTTTGCAATGCATTTTGGGTAGAAATGAGGTATGCAGGGATCTCTGGGAGCTAGAGGTCAAGTTCTCAGCTTGCAACTTTCTCCATTCCATAATGAAATCCATAACTCATATTTTCACGTCTTTATTTAAAAACCTGCGCAGCACTTATCAGTCTCCACCTCTTCTGACAGAAGCATGGAGCCCACAGATGTGTGTACTATTTTTCTGAATGCTGCAAATATAGGATGCACGATTCTCCTGTATTTGCAGACCCATAGGAAGTACTACAACAACGGGGACATGACAATTTCTTGGAGGACAGAGTGCTGAGGGACACAGTGAAAAACAATTCAAGATTATTAGTGGCATTCATGGAACAGCTGCAGATGGTGGAGCACTGTTTCTAGGCCCAAGAAACGAGCATTTGTGGGGTTGCATTGTAATGCAGGTTTGCGACAATGACCAGTGGCTGCAGAACTTTTGGATACAAATGGCCACACTTCTGAATCTGTGAGCTGAGCTCACCCCAGCCTGCCAGCACAGGCATACCAGAATGAGTGGTGCATTGACAGTGGAAAAATGAGTGGTGATCTCACTGTGGACGCTTGCAACCCTGGATTGCTACTGGTCAGTAGGAAATCATTTTGGAGTTGGAAAATCCACAGTGGGGGCTGTTGCCACACAAGTGTGTAGGGCCCTAAATCATCTCCTGCTACACAGGACTGTGACCATTGGGTCACATAGCGGATGGATTTGCAGCAATGGGTTTCCTGAGTTGCGATGGGGAGATAGATGGTACACACAGTGGTGAGCTGGAGCTGGTTCGCACCGGTTTGCGCGAACTGGTTGTTAAATTTTGAAGCCGATTTAGAACCAGTTGTTAAAGGGGTGGGCAAACCCCGGCCCGCGGGCCACATCCGGCCCATGGGACCGTCCTGTCTGGCCCGCCTGAGCTCTCGGCTGGGGAGGCGCCCCTGAGAATCCCTTTTTACTCACCTGGCGGCACTTCGGGACTTCGGCAGCGGGTTCTTCACTCTCTCCGGGTCTTCAGTGGCACTTTGGCGGCGGGTCCTTCAGTGCTGCCGAAGACCCAGAGCGACTGAAGGAACCAGTTCTTCAGCTTTTGCCAGCTCATCACTGGGTAAACATATCCCTGTTCTGGCACCAGCCCACCTTGCCACAGAGTATGTCAACCGAAAGAGCGACTTTTCTATGGTTATAAGAAAAGGAGTACTTGTGGCACCTTAGAAACTAATCAATTTATTTGAGCATAAGCTTTCGTGAGCTACCCTCCCCGTCCCCCCGCCCCACACACACACACACACACACAAACCCACCCTCCTGTTGGTAATTTTCTACTATTACCAACAGGAGAGTGGGTTTGTGGGTATGTGTTGCGGGGGGGGGGGAGGGAGAAAACCTGGATTTGTGCTGGAAATGGCCCACCTTGATTATCATACACATTGTAAGGAGAGTGATCACTTTACATAAGCTATTACCAGCAGGAGAGTGGGGTGGGGGGAGAGAAAACCTTTTGTAGTGATAAACACCCATTTTTTCATGATTTGTGTGTATAAAAACAAACATCTTCTGTATTTTCCACAGTATGCATCCGATGAAGTGAGCTGTAACTCACGAAAGCTTATGCTCAGATAAATTGGTTAGTCTCTAAGGTGCCACAAGTCCTCCTTTTCCTTTTGCGAATACAGACTAACACGGCTGTTGC